CCTTGCAATTGCTGTGGCCAAAAATTGGGAATTGCATTAGATGGATGTACAGAACACATTTCTTCATGGAGATCTACAAGAAGAAGTCTATATGAAGATGCCTCCTGGATTTGCTTCAAGATTGCCTGGAAAGGTGTGCAAGCTGCATAAGTCGCTTTATGGATTGAAGCAGGCCCCTCGTTGATGGTTTGCTAAACTAACAACAGCCTTGAAACAGTATGGTTTTACCCAGTCGCAATCTGATTACTCTTTGTTTATGCTTCGACGTGGGCAAGTACAGTTAAATATTTTGGTTTACGTTGACGAACTTGTCATCTTTGGAAATAATGGGGATGCCATTCAGAAATTCAAGAAGTATCTGAGTCAATTCTTCCACATGAAGGACTTGGGAGTTTTAAAGTATTTTTTAGGAGTGGAGGTCGCAAGAAACCAGGAAGGTATTTCTATTTGTCAGCGGAAGTATGCTTTGGATATCATATCAAAAACTGGATTGTTAGGAGCTAAGCCAGCTAGTCTTCCCCTAAAACAAAATCATAAATTGGCTATGGCAGATGGTCATTTGATGATAAAGCTGGAGAGTTACAAGAGGCTAGTGGGTCATTTGATTTACTTGACCATTACCCGTCCTGAGTTGTCCTATTGTGTGCATGTGCTCTTTCAATTTATGCAGACCCCCCGTGAAGAATACTGGGAGGCGGCTTTACGTGTAGTGCGATATTTGAAAGGTAATCCAGGATAGGGAATTTTCCTTCCAGCTGACAGTGATCTTCGATTATATGCTTACTGTGACTCTGACTGGGCCGGTTGTCCATTGACGACGTTCTCTCACCGAATACTTTGTTTTATTGGGACAAGCACCAATCTCGTGGAAGATGAAGAAGCAGCATACAGTGTCCAGATCATCGACTGAGGCGGAAGAAGTAGCATCCCAATCCTATGCGATTATACTGTGACAGTCAAGCAGCTTTGCATATTGCTGCGAATCCGGTCTTCCATGAGCGAACTAAACACATTGAAGTAGATTCTTACTTTGTCCGTGGTGAAATCCATAGTGGGAATATATAGCCCTCCTATGTCCGGACTTCCGAGCAACTTGCTGATATATTTACAAAGGCCCTAGGCAGGCAACAATTCGAACATCTTCTTCGCAAGTTGGGCATTTCCCGTTTACATGCACCAACTTGAGGGGGGGTGTTGAGCCTTATCATATGAACCAGCCTTATCGTATGAGCCTTATCGTAAATCAGCTGTATCTTGTATGTATTTTAGTTATCATCTTGGTTTTCCATATTCTTTTAGGAGTCAATGATTAGGTTCCTAATTGTAATTGTAATTCTTCCTAATGGTTAGCCGACTTCCTCGCAAGGGAACTTTATATATATGTATCTTGTAATCGTTGGGTGTAATACAGAAGCAGAGAAGGGTTCTCCATTATCTTTCTCCTTCGTCTGAAAGTTTCATAGTCCAAAATATTTACTGGATTGGATGACCTGGTCCATCTGTAATGAATTTATATTGGATTGGGTTGGATTGAGCCAATATATGGTCCATTGCTGGAAGATAAGAACATAGTTGTCAATAGACCAGGTTTGGTTTAAAACCAATCTAAATTAAAACAAATTTGAAAAGATTGGGTGGTCTAGACATTGAATTGGACTAGTCTAACATGATCTAAAATATTCATTGGATAGGATTGGACCTGATCCATTTATAATGGACTCACACTGGATTGGATCCGATTGGACCAAATCTAGTCCAATTGACACCCCTAAGTGTAGGCAAGTTTGTCAACTTCTAGTCCAATTGACACCCCTAAGTGTAGGCAAGTTTGTCAACTTTTCCTTTGACCAACTCTCCTACCCCAAATTACACCCAAACTAGCGGGATCTTAAGAGAAATGTGTAAATTTCCTAACTCCATGATAACTGCTCTAACCTTTTTTGAACTTTGTCCTTTCCAAAAAACCTCTTTCTAGTCTAGTCTCCATATTTCTTATAAGCTATACAAACTGACCCCTTATACTAGTTTGAGTAGGAGTATTAAATTACAAAATTACCCTTGTCTCTCCATTTAGACATTGGTCAATTGATATTTCAATATTTTTATCTTAGGGCAAACTTAGAACTTTTGTATTTGAAAACATGACATCATCTTTATCTGTTTACACCTCAATGTCAAACTATAGGGGAGGTTTGTATAATTTGTCTCAATGGCATCATCTTTTTTGGTTTGAATAGTTTATCTAAAATGTGGAGGGGAGATTTTTCTTTTTTGGTAATAACGTGGAGGGGGGATTTTGGAGAGGTCAAAGTTCAAAGGAAGTTAAAGTAGTAATTAGGAACTACATGAGATGTTTTAATAAGGGTAAAGACTTAAACCTCCCTTGGTATTTCCTATAAATACTAGAACCTCCCTTCAATTTTCAAAAAGCACCAAAACCTAGGGGTGTCATTTGGTCCAGTCCAGTCCAATCCGGTCCAATTCAATGTGAGTCCATTACAAATGGACCTGGTCTAATCCAGTCCAATGAATATTTTGAACCATTTTAGACCGATCCAAAGACTGTCCAATCTATTCAAATTCCTGTTAATTTAGATTGGTTTCAATTCAAACCTGGTCCATTGATACTTATGTTTTTATTTTTCTATCAGTGGACCAAATATTGACTCAATCCAATATATATTCTTTATAGATGGACCAGGTCCAATCTAATATGTCATTGGTCCGTCCAGTCCATCCAAATTCAATGTCTTATTGGTCCATCCAATCCGTCCAAATGGATTTTGATTTGGACGGACTCCAACCCAAAACTGGTCCATTGACACCCCTACCAAGACCTCCCATGTCATAATTATGTCTAACAGAACCATCATACAAAGTCTCTTTTGTCCTTACTAATTCTTCAAAATTTCCAAGTAATAGAATCTCTCCTACCATTAAAATGATCCATGAACCACTTATTTCACTTGTGACTTCCTTGTACATGGAGGTCCTCATTGCCTACTTTGCACTACACTTTAGAAGAGCCCAAATAAATTTTGAGGAAATATGAACTATATCTATCTATCTATCTATGTATCTTTCTCTCTCTATATATATATTTGAGGCATAAAATTAGAGCTCTCAATGGATCAGATGCTAACCTGATCCAATCAGAATCTAAATGAATTGAGTTACAACTAGATATCTGCTAAGGATAATTAAATGTGATTTTCAAAAATCTAGCCAGTGATCCATCAACTCAAGAATAAAGATCCAATCCAATCCAACCAAACCAAGACTTCTGGTATTAAAGCCTTCAAGCATTGTAACTTTATTAAAACAATACATTTTGCATTAAATTTGAGCCTCTGCAGAGATTTCCAGGCCTGCTAATCAGGGTGGTAGAAGATGTTCATTCTATGGTCCAATCCGTATCCCAATTAAAAGTTGTCTTCATGGCGTTGTTGTGCTATCACTGATGTTCAGAATATTTTACAGCATTATCTGATGGTTAAGATCCAATATTGTAATAGATAGCCCAACATCTTATAGGTTAGCCTAGGCATGTTATCAACACTCTCTCTGTGACTGGGTGCATCACCCTCATTGTATTTAAGAGTTTTGAATTATGTAATATATATCTTCTTTTGCAGAAAAAAAGCCACACTTCTGAATTAACCAACCTATCTATCTATCTATTTATCTATCTATCTATCTATATATCTATATATATAGATATATAGATACAAATAGATAATGCTGTAAAATATTTTGAACATCAGTGGTAGCACAACAACGCCATGAAGACAACTTTTAATTGGGATACGGGTTGGACCATAGAATAGACATCTTCTACCACCCTGATTAGCAGGCCTGGAAATATCTGCAGAGACTCAAATTTAATGCAAAATGTATTGTTTTAGTAAAGTTACAATGCTTGAAGGCTTTAATACCAGAAGTTTTGATTTGGTTGAACCTTTATTCTTGAGTTGATGGATCACTGGCTAGATTTTTGAAAATCACATTTAGTTATCCTTAGCAGATATCTAGTTGTAACTCAATCCATTTAGATTCTGATTGGATCAGGTTAACATCTGATCCATTGACAGCTCTAATTTTATGCCTCAAATACACCTTAAAAGTGTTACCATTGTAGGAAGGTCAAGAATACACTTCATTTTTTCATCAGCTTGGTCTGTTATTGGATGCGGTCTCTTCTTATTGTTAATACCTGGATCTTTTATTTGGATTCTTATGCTGATAAGTTGATCTTGTTTTATAATTTGAGAATGAATGAATTTCGTCTTCTATGGCTTCAAAAAAAATATATTAATTATGTGGTCCAATTTATAGCATCATCTTCACCAAAATTCATTATAATAAGCAATGTTTTTGAACTGTCGTTAACTCGGACGGTCGGACCGTTCGGACCAGAAACCATTCAGGTGACCGGTTCTATTTTACCCCAAACCTAGCATTTGGTCAAAAACCACTAATTAAACAACGAACCATTGACTTGGACGGTTTGACTGATAAACTGTTCGATCCAGAGAATGATTTGTTGCTCGGATCTCAGATCTGATAAATCTCAGATCTGAGACTGAGAAATCTCAGATTTGTCTTTCTCATGCAAGAAGGTGAGAGAGAGAGAGAGTGAGATCTGAGATTGAGAAACCATCGCCGTCACTGTCGTTATCGTTATCGCCGCTGCAAGCCTGCAAGTCCTCCTCTTCTTCTTCTAAACTCTTTCAGTTCAGCCGACAGTTTTCTTTCAAGTTTCAACCCTTATTTTCTCTTATATAATATGCACCTTACCTTAATATTCCAATCTAATGGGTAAGATACTCAAATTGTTCGAACCATTTAACTCGGACGGTCGAACCGCTGACCCAGAAACCAGTGGCCAGAACAGTTCTGTTTCCAGTCAGTTTTTAAAACCTTAATAATAAGTTAATAATTTTAACCATTTGCTTTATACATAACTTGCCACGCTCATTTGGGTATTAATACAGATTGCCTTCCATTCCCAATACAGAGTTGCTATCAACAATTTCATTTTAACCTTGTTTAACAAATGCATAAACATGAAATATTTTGAAATTCTTTGGATCTTAATCATCTTTGTTCTATTCTTTAATGGACGTAAGAACACATTAAAAATAAAATTTATGATTCTCTCAAAATAGAGTTTTTTAGCTAAAAAATATGCCTAAACATTAAATACCTCAATTTTTTGGACCTACATTTTCTTCTTAACGCCAAGATGCATGCTGTATCTCCTCTTCCTCTTCATCATCATCATCATCAAATTCTTCTACTTCTTCTTCTTCCTCTTCTTCTTCTTCTTCTTCTTCCCACTCTCCCTCCCCCTCGCCCTCCACATCTACCTCCTCCTCCTCTTCTTCATCATCATCTTCATCACCTTCTTTTAATTCCTATGCAACAAATAAAGAAAATTTGTAAATAATGAACTTTTCATCCTTTTTAGTTTTAGTACTTTACTCTAATGTCTTTTTAACATCAAAATTATATGTGGCTCTCCTCAAATTAAAAAAAAATAAAATGACATAGTATTTAAGATAGTCACTTGAGTATTCGTTTTATCAAGAAGGGGATGTTTTATAACATGAATTAATATTTAAAAAAAAATCACCACATCACCTAAAAAATTAATCAAACATGTTCTTGAACTTTGTTTATTCTTTGAGAAGTGAAAACATGCTAGTTTTCTTTCAAGAAACAGTCCATTCTTTTGAAACCATCAAAACATTGATTTCTAAAACAAAAACTAATTTTGAAGTACAGATATTATATGATACATTGATTGCTAGATGAAAATATGTTAGTTAAACCAGAAATTCAAGAACACATTTTTTCACTTTCAGAAACAAATCTATCTTTATGTTGTTGGATGTCAAAAGGAGTCTTTGAACTCATCTTCCACTCTCTATGCATGAAAAAAAAAACCCAAAACACCTTCCATGTATGACTAACAAGACCTCTTTTTCCGTAATTAATATTAGTTGCAGAACCACCAATACATTCTTCAGGTCTATGGGTTGACCAATCTGGTACTACACCAAATGTCAGTGTATGAGAGACCCAAGGCATTGTTATCTAAATCAGCTTTAAATATTTAAATGGATCGAAAGATGGGAATATTTAAGTTGCAAACTAGCAAATGCTACAAAAATTGGTTATTATTAGGCGTGGGTGGTTCATGGATGGGTTAGTATTCAGCTCGCAACCAACATAATCCAGCCCATTAAAATCAATCAATGAAAGTATGGATGAGCCTTTTAGAAGAAGATGGGAGCGAATGAAGACATACCTGAATACCGAGATCAGGAGTGGATTGAATATCACCCATAAAAAGGGAAACTATAGAGTCGAGATTAGAGCTCCTCTTGTTCCCCTTGCTCTGCAAAACCAAAGCCCTGATATAAGAATCCTGATTGCAGAACAGAGATCGAGAAAGAGAGAGAAAGGGAGAGAAGAAGAAGAAGAAGAAGAAGAAAACAAAAAAGTACCTAAAAACATACAGAAAAAAATGTAACTTTATAGAGAACGGCAGTTGTGGAGAGTAAGGAGGGAAGAAGAGAGAGGGTGAAAGGTAATTATGGTGGTAGTGGTAGAGGTGAAAGCATACACACAACAGAATTGCAATGGTGATGGCAGAAGTGGAGGCAAAGAGAATCACAAGCTTACAACCAAAGCCGATAGACAAATGCAACTTCAATCGGAGCCCTAGCATGTACTTTCAACTCAACCCAACCTGATCCTTTTTATTTGATCAAATGGGTGATTCAATCAATCTTTGACTTCGGATCTTAGATGAGTGGCTCGGCAGAAATTACCATTCCAATAAACAAAGAAAATGTATCAAAACATAATTTCTATTTTTAATTCCAAACTGTTTATTATTGAGGTGGCCATTAATGTTTGGAACGGATTTAACATTTGCTCACAGGATTGCCCTGCAACCACCAATGAAAAATGGGTACACCAGCAAAGTAGAGAACAATTCACGCGACTGTAATGAATTTATTTGCATCACCAACCTGTCCATATTTCACTGGGTGGTCGCAAGGGATTGCTGCCACCATGGAACAACATTTAATCTGATTATGGTCATCAGGTCATATCCCAAACAGAGAACATCTATTAAGACAACCCATGGGGGGCCTAAAACCAGGGGTGTCAATTGGACTGGATTTGGTCCAATCCGATCCAGTCCAATGTGAGTCCATTATAAATGGATCAGGTCCAATCCAATGAATGTTTTGGACCAATTTGGACAGGTCCAATTCAATGTCTGGACTGTTCAATTTGTTCAAATTCATTTTGATTTAGATTGGTTTCAACCCAAACCAGGTCCATTGACACATATCATCTTATCTTATATCAATAGACCAAATATTGGCTTAATCCAACCTAATCCAATATAAATTTGTTATGGATGGACCAAGTCCAATCCAATCTAATAAATATTTTGGACCGGATTGGTCCAATCCAAAATGTCTTGTTGGTCCGTTCAATCCGTCCAAATTGGTTTTGGACTCGATGGGGTCCAATCCAAAACCGGTCCATTGACACCCTTACCTAAAACAAAACCATAGTTGTGTACATGATCATTGATTCAACAATAAAAAAGCAGAGCAAATCTAGTCTGTCCATGGTGGCTGGGCCGGGATTAGTGACCTACCTCTTCAATGAAGCCAAACGTTCTCTCGTCCATGTAATGGCCTGAGTTAAGAAGGTCATTCTCAAGCTGCACAAACTCAAGCATAAACTCAGCTTGCCAACGCTCTGCAATGCTCCATCTCATTGACTTCTTTAAGGCTTCATCTGATGATAAGCTCAAAGTGATAAGCTCAGGATCCACTTCCCAGCGTTTCAACAGTTCTTCTCCACGTTTCTCAAGGCTTTCTCTTACTATTGGACTGGCAGAGGCATACCACCCCAGACAAAATGAGAAAGGTCGCATCACTGGTTGTAATAATTCCAAGACCTGCAGGAACTGAAAGCACAGGGGTGTAACCATTAGTTAATCTCTTATAACAACTGGATTAAATCTCTAACTGTGAGACTTCTTTGGTGGATCTACAATCTTCATCAAGTTTTGGATTCAGGTCAATGACTTACTTCATTGATGTGCTCCGGAGTGCCTTCAGCTGGTAATAGTCCTAGGCTAACAACCCCATTCTCATACTCAATTCGCCAGCGTTCTGCTATGATCCTTTTTATGGATTTCTTTAATGCTTGATCTGGTGACGAGCTTAGCTTCATAAGCTCAGGATCCACAATCCAGTTGTAATGGAGAGATACCCGGAGTTCCTTCAGGCTTTCTTTTAGCTGTCCATTCCACCAACCCCTCCAGTTTATATAATTTGCTAAAGGGTTCATTAATCTTACAAAGAACTTCACAACCTGTAAGAACTGAAAGCACAAAGGTATAGAGAAAAAAGCGATCAAAATTAAGGTGGATTGTGGCATATAGTCTTATTTGGCATTCAGGCTTTCTACAATTAGGGTCTATTTGGTTCGTGAGAACAGGGGTCAGGGCTCTTTCCGATACAAACCTCTGATTGGGTGGAATTGACATATGATTCTCATTCTTGATGGAATGGCATTCTTCCATTTCAGCGAACTCTCATTCTCTTGGGAATGAGAATCTCATTCTAGCGGATTTTGATTCTGATTCCTGTCTGAACCAAACTGGTAGAGAATAGACTATTCCTATTCCAATTTTAAGGGATTCAGGTTTTAATTCCAACTGAGAACCAAAGAGACCCTTAGAAATCACAGAAAGGAGAGAAAATATGAAATGATAAATCAATCCCATCATAATGGGCTATGTCGAGTGACTTACTTGTCGGACATGCTCTGTTGTGCATCCAACCGGCAACAAGCCTGTATAAATAAATGAATTCTCGCACTCCACTAGCCAGCGTTCTACTATGCTTCCTCTGATTGGCTCCCTCGTGGCTTCATCAGCTGATGACGAAATTAATCTAATGAGTTCAGGGTCCCCAAACCAGCATTTTCGTAGTTCTTCTCCATATTGCCGTAGGGCCTGTTCTGTCAGGTCATCCCACCTTTCTCTCCATTGCAGATAATTTAGAAGAGGCTTTATTGATCGATAAAACAATTTGTGAATCTTCCGGAACTGAAAGCATAAGGATCACAGTTATCAATAGAGTCAAAACAGAAATCAAATTTAGGTATTAATGTTTTCTATAGCTTCAATTAAGTATTTCCCTGCACCCTCCACAAACTATAAAAACATGCTTTTATTGATTTTTATTCAATGAAAATTGCTCAGACCCACCTCTCTCATGTAATCTAAAAACTCAGCTCGCCAGCGTTTTGCTATGCTCCTTCTCATCCACTTCTTTGAGGTGCTATCCCATGATAAGCTCAAGTTGATAAGCTCAGGATCTACTTGCCAGCGTTTCATGAGATCTTCTAGTTCTAAGCGTTTATAGACAATTGATTCACTTTCTGGATCATAACCTTCTTCCAATAATATTGCAGGAATAGGCAATTCTCTTTCATTTCCCAGAGAATTCTTTGCTGGTTGTACTAATTTCAAAACCTGTGGGAACTGGATGGAAGCACAAGGATCACAGCTATAAAAACCGAACAAATTAATGAATAAACAACACTCAAAAATCAAAATATAGCCAGTGTAGCTAATCTGGAATTCTGGATTGACTTACTTGTCGGATGTGCTCAGTCGTGCATCCAGCAGCCACCAAGCCAGAACTAATAAGTTGATGCTCGTAATCTCCTTGCCAGCGTTCAGCTATGCTTATTCTGATCAAGGCCTCGTCAGCTGGTGATGAGGAGCTTAACGTCTTGAGTTCAGGATCATCTCTCCACCTTTTTTCTTGTTTTCTTAGCTCCTGGCGTTCTGTTGACTTATTGTATCTCCACCGGAAATACTTTCTGAAAGGTTGTATCAGTTGGTATAGTAATTCCCGAGTCTTCAAGAACTGAAAAGACACACAGTGATGGAAGTTATAAAGAAGGGATCAGAAGTCAAAATTAAAGTGATCTTTGGGTGTGTAGATTATATGGGTTTGGCTCTGTGGTAGAGTTTTTTCCTCCATTCAATTGACTTACTTGCATGTTGTGCTCTGGGATTTCTTCAGATCTTAAAAGGCCCAAGCTGATAAGATTATGCTCAAACTCGGCTAGCCAGCGTGCTGCTATGCTCCATCTTTTTGTCTGTAAGACTTCTTTGTCTCTGAATGAGCTTAAGGTCGAGAGCTCAGAGTCAACTTGCCAGTACTTTTTCAGTTCATCTAGCCGGATTTTTGCACCTTCTTCTTGGAGATTTTGTTTCAAATGATCCCTCAGAGGTTTTTCCAGTTTGGAAAATAATCTCCAAACCTGTGGGAACTGAGAGAAGAAGGATTGCAGTTATTAAAATAGAAGACAAAGAAACAAGCAATTAATTTTGTATTGGATGCATTTATAGTTCAGAGAATATAAATAAGATGAGAAAGCCTAAATAGAACATATAAATAAGATGTTCAGACCGTACCTCGTAAAGGGATTGAATGGCAGCATTTACATCAGATTCGTACAATTGGAAGTTCTCTCCTTCAAATATCTTTAGCTTTGGTGTATTTTGGAGCCGTAAAGTGAAATTCTTCATATTCTCACATTTCACCAATCTTACTTTCTCCAGTCGTGGACATTCGACGCTTGCATTTCCACGGTAGAAACTCGTGATGCTCTTCATAACTTCGAGCACTAAAATCTTCAATCGAGGGAAAACAATCTTTTCTTCCACCACTGTTTCTTCCTCCTTCACAACAATTTCCTCCAACGCTTCGCATTCCCTAATTATAATTGTTTCCATTTGAGACAAGCTTTCAGCTAGAGCAGGGGAGAAGAGATTTCTCAGTTTGCCACAATTCTCAATGCTCAAGAATTTTAATTTCTTGAATGACCCATTTGGAAGTTGACCAAGCCAGATATGCCTTAAATCTTCTAAACCAATGAGGCGTAACTCTTCCAAATGGTGGAATAGTACCGTCTGTTTCAAATTCCATTCCATCACATTCAGGAAACATTCTATCCATGGACAATTTTCAACAATGAGCAGCTTGAAACCACCTTCAGAAAGATATTCTTGATCAGATTCTTCAAATATGTTCTTTAAATCCTCTCTGAAATAACAAAAATGCAATAGTTCTGCCTTCAGTAAGACCCCCTTTCTAAACCAATCTGGAAGGTTGCAGATCTGGGTGTTGTTGAGGATCAAGGATCTTGAGATTTTCATTGTAGTAGAGACAACATAACGACCATAATGAGTGCCCATGCCGACACCTATGCAAAATCTTGTCCAGTTTGGATGACAACTGACTTCTTGAGGTAAGCATTCAACATTGTTTACTCCTATTTGTAAAGCAGTTAAGCAGGGCAAGCGTGTTATCTCAGCAAAGCTATTACTAACATCAATGGTTATTTCTCCGCCTGGCTTTTGCTCCATAACAAACTTGTTGTTAGATTTCATATATAGTTCTTCTAGCTTCGAGAAGTTCAATATCTTTTCAGGTGGAATTACAATGGAACCCCATCTGCATTGCAAATTCAACAATCTTAGAGTGGTTAGCTGTTCCATGTCTTTCAGTACCACCGTATTATTAGAGTGAATTTGAAGTACAAGTATCTGAAGTTTTCTCAGCTCTCCAAGCCCATATAGTTCTGTTTGCCTACAATGCAGACGTAGTGTTCGAAGGTTTGTCAAGGAATATAATGATGGAGGTAAAACTGAAATATGATTTTCAGTTAGATCCAATACTTTGAGTGCAGGCATTCCTTCAAAGAAGGTATTTGGGACTGTGATCATTTCGTCTTTTTGCAATTGCCAAGGACAATTGTTCTGCAACAACAAGGTTTGGAGTTCTGGGTATTTCAACTGGTTGGGGAATTTCAATACCCGATTGTGCATCAGCGAGACTCTTCTATGGTAATCTTCTCCATCTGTGCTATTCCTCGGCCAGTCCTTCAATCCTTGTCTTGCTCTCACCATTGATGATGTTGCAATTGAGATACCCATGTCACGAATCACGTCATGAATTCTCACACAACCTATGTCTATGTCAAGAGTGTCTCCTAGGGAGAATTTTTCATTTTCTTCTTCATTTAACAAGAAGAAACAATCTTTTAGGTTGCTGATTATCGATTGTGCTCTGTGCCTTGCTTCTTCCATTGTCTCTACATCTGCAAACAGTCCCTCACCTATTGCATACTCCACCAACATCTCTACACTGACATTATAATCTTCAGGGAATAGACAAGACAACAAGAACAATTGCTTGGTTTCCTCATCTAGTAATTGATGGTAACTCCACTCTAGACATGACAACACTCTTTCATGAATGCCCCTAATCTGTTTAGTTCTAGACTTCTTCAATTCATCAGCTGCCTTTTCCCATATTTTTATGTCCTCCTTACCTCGCAGAGCCCTTCCGACTGTGACTAGTGCCAGAGGGAGACCTCCACATTCTCTAGCAACCTCCTTTGCTGCATCTTTGAATGTTGGAGAGTCAACAAACAAACCTGCATTCCATTTAAACAAATCCCAACCTTCATTTTCTGTCAAGATACCAAGGTTGAAGATTTTGGTTGATTGATCCTCTGAGCTACCCATCACATCACATACCTCCTTGAGTCTTGTGGTGAATAGTATCTTGCAGCTCATATGTTCCCTTCCACAAGGAATTCCTACATCTGACAACTCTATTCCCTCCCAAAGTTCATCTAAGATTACAAGAATTCTATTCACTTCTTTCAAGCTTTGGCACAGATTAACTGCTCTTAAACGCGTGCTTTCTTCTGATCCTAATTCTAGCCCTATCATGGCAGCAACATCTCCCTGAATCTTTCTTATGTCTAGTGTTTGGGGAACAGCCACCATCAGAACCGAATGAAAAAGCTGGTCGTTTTCTACTTGTTTGCTAACTTCTTTTATCAGGCTAGTCTTGCCAATCCCTCCTATCCCATAGACCCCGATGGCGTTGATCTTTGGATCCTTCAACGCCCCTATGACCTCTTCTATGGCTAACTTCCTCGATTCAAAAGCCATGAAATCCCCTTTCAGAATTGCTGCTCTTCTTGGAAGAGGTGAGGGAATCGGTTCACTAATGAATGCTCCTGCTTCACTAATTACTTCCATTTTGGATTTGGACGAGAATTAACAATTTAAAGAAGTCAAGAACAAAAGACTTCGAGATGTGTTTTTTCCTAATATTTTTCTTTCAAGAAGAACTGAAGAACAAGAATTTAACTCGAAGTAAAGCAGCAGAGCATGTCTGTATATCGAAAAGAAGGTTCAAAGTGTACTTATCTTAATGAATTCTCCTTCCAGCTGCAGCTATTATGTTCTTCGATTGCAGCTGCTCTAGTTCAACTGAGAACTGATGATGTCCTGCTTGTATGCCAGTCTTAAATGGAAGAAGGATGTGTAGAATCTTTCAAAGATGGATGTGTATATATAGAGTCAGGATATGCCAGTTTTCGTCCAAGAAATGCACCTGAAATACCATAATCAACACGTTTTAAGCTAAATAAAGTGATGGGTTTATATAGAAGATGGCCGTGGAGAAATGAAAAAGAAAAGAAGATAAGTCTAGCTAGCAGTGTTGTATCAATTGCATGTTGTCTTTTTTGTATCAAAACTATGACCAGATGGGAAAGAGTAGACTAAAGAAGGAAAACCGTGTGGACTTAATTATTCTTCTGGTGTCACAATTTGCAGATTACCTCATTTGACTTTGTTTTTATATAATATAATTTTACTTGAACAAGGGTATCGAAGAAAATGGAGGGTCAACCCAGGGTTGATGGACTGACTGGATGAAAATAGAAAACATAACTAGCAAAAAAAAAAAAAGGTGCGAATGCTTATAATTGTAGACATATGAAAAGTTTTATTTTTAATGAACCAAAGAATCAAAGTTTGCGAAAGGCAAAGGAACCTTCCAAGTAGCAACTTGATTTGGATTTTGGAGTGTAAAGAGGATATATATGGTTGATTGGAAAGCTAACACTATAGCTAACAGAAAATGCCAAATCAAGGTTGGTATGATTGAATGGACCAAGGGATTCAATTCAACAAACCACGAATCCATCATCCATCTGTATATCATACTACTGCCTCCCACTACCAATTGAGGCTCTAGTTGTTGTCATACGGCCCCTAAGACAACAAATGTGTTGACTATTGAATCCTCTATACCCCTTTTATTCCTTCAACAAGAAATGCAGAAAGAATATTTATTAGGCAAGCATGTCTTTTTTGGACCTATTAGGAGTGTTTCATACCCCTTTTCTATTTTGAGAAGCAAAAACAAGTTGATTTTATTTTACAAAACTATAAATTAGTTTTATTGAAACCATCAAAATGATGGTTTTTAGAACAACATTTTTTTTAGTATACTGTATGATTTTGAAAAGATGATAAAAGATTATTATATGAAAACATGGTTTTCAAATCAGAAATTCAAGAACACATCTTTTTTTTTTTTGTTTCAGTTTTTTGGAAACAAAAAATACAGATACAACTAAGAACAAGTTGTTTTCATTATTTTTGTTTCAAGAACCAATTTGCTTTCAAAACATATGATTTACTTTGTTCTTTTGGAACTGACCAAAAGAAATACAATTCACACTGGAGCACCCTCTAGATCAATGAAGGTGTAGCTAGGTGGTCAGTTGGGGCTGTTTGAATTGAAAGAGGCACGGGTTTGTAGTTTTAACCCACAGATATGGCAGGCTGTCTATATTACCAATGGGCGTCAAAGGTGGCCCTGCTAGCTCTTCTAATTGGGTCTAGCCTGCCGCATGCTACACACCAAAAACAAAATTGATGAGAATGGAATTTTGAAAACATGAATTGAGAGGGTGTCTAGGTACAATGGACAACAATACCAATCTCAAATCACCCCTAATTGAATTTGGTCGTGAAAGGCGGGCTTGCAATGAGAAACATTCATGTTTTTTTTTTCCTTTCAACAATGTTCTCTTTATTTGCATTAGTACATATGTATGGGAGTGAAAATGAAAAAAATGCAAATTCTCATTTAATTTTGTTTTGGGTTTTACTTTATTCTGTTTCATATCTTAATTTACTTCATTTGTACTACAACCAAACAAGATAAGCTAAAATTTGAAATAAAAATTGATCAGAATTTACATTCAATTCATTTGTACTGTTATAATTTTGCATCAGTGCAAATTTATTTGCATTGCAACCAAACAGCCTAAGGAGCAAAATGATGTTCTCCCAAGTTTATATGAAAGAGAAATGAGGCTGGAGGAAGTTTTTTTATTTAGAATGAATAAGGTAGGAAGCAAATTGATATTGTCCCGACAATGTGGCAGAGAATTAAGATAGGAGGAAGTGGTAAAAATTTTACATCAGCTTTTCAGGTACAGGATTTTCCATTGCTGGTGGATACAAATGAGACAAAAGGTACAAATTTTGCATCAAATAAGAGTGAAACAAATGGATGCAAAACGGAACCAAGTGCAAAATCTGTATCTGGTTCAGATTTACATTGCAAGGAATGAAATATTCATATAAAGAGGACTAGAAATTGAGAACCCACTAAACAGATTGTGGACAAATTTCAGTAAGAATAGTAGATCACCAGGTGCTTTAAGTTCAATACGTTACTTTCAAGGGTAAAATATAAAATCTCCCTAAATTTTCTGACAATCATACAAACCTCCCCTGTGTTTTAATTGTAATAAAAAGCTCCCTTGTAGTTTTAAGAAAAATTATAATTACATCCATTTCGTTATTTTTGTGACAGAAAACGCTAATGTCACACATTATTTGATCAAAATACCAATGCTACCGTTTTGTCTATCTGCTCCAAGATTGCTGTGTAGGAGCACCTCCGTGATGTTTCTCTAAACATGGTGATGCTTTTTTTTTTTTCTTCTTTTTTTCTTTCCATCATTTAACAATTATAGATTCTTTCTAACAACAAACAATTGATGGATGCAGCAAAAGAACATAATAATCTAGGTTGCGTAGAGGGGAAACATGGAGGGCTGATTAATCCTGAATTTTGATGGTTCAAAGACAATCCCGAGAACTATGCAACTTGAAACAAAGAAGATATTAAATAAGCAAATTCCTTCAAATAAATCCTTGTGGATTGGAGAGAAGCTGATTAGAAGTTCAAATAAAGGATAGAGTTATAAAACCCTAGAATGAGAACCCCTGCCGCAACCAACCCGATTTTTGCAAGTCAAAATCTAGGACTGGGTTTCTACACATGATCCTCTTACAAAGGTATTCTTTCTTCTTCAGACAAAACCCTAGATAGTAACGAAAAAAGGAAATATCGAATTTGTCCTTCATTAACCTTCAAATTTTCAAAATAAAACCCAATCGCTGAAAATTTTTGCCATCACCACCGTCGCTACATCCATCAAGGAACTTCTTTATATGGCATATGACCAAAGCTGCTGCCTGGAAGGCAAGCTCAATATAGTTCCCATCTAATATGAGTTCATCCTTGATCGTATCGGACCAGATAATGGTTACACCGTCCAGCATATCCACATTTCTCACCTTCTTCTCACCAAGGAAGCTATTGATCATTTGATCTCGATGCTCTTGTTGCCATTGGTGATGCTTGCGTCGATGGGAAAGTGAGCATAGAAGAACCTCATCTTTGGTGACACCCTCAGGGAATGTTCCAGTGCAACTCGTCCAGATACCAGATACCAGATACCGAGTCAGTATGTGCAACAAATCCCAATGCCTTTGGGTCAAATTCCAGTTGCGTTCCGGCAACCAGTTGCTGGCGTAGGTCAGATATACAGCAGGGGCATGAAACCAGTTTCAGCGGTTGAACATATACATATGAATACCTTACAGCACTAAGATTGTTGTTCTCAGCTCGACCCCATGCTTATCCGCTCTCGTTAGCTCTGTCTACCCCTAAACTCTAATTATGCATCAAGAAAAGGTAGGGAGAAACAGGGGGGAAAGGTGAACATGATCTTATCGTCAGAGACAATGGACATCCCAGATGAAGTGAAGATTAAGGTCAAGGCGAAAATCATCGAGGTGGAGGACTCCCGTGGAAAACTCAGCAGGAACTTCAAGCACCTCAACCTAGATTTTCAGCTTATCAAGGATGAGTCAGGGAAGAAGAAGCTCAAGATCGAATCCTGGTTTGGTTCTAGAACGACCATTGTGTTCTCTTCACCTCTTTCCTCTCGTTGAACTTGCTAATTGAACTCCCCCCTCTCCCTCTCCCTCTCATTCTCTTCCCCAGTGCTACAGGGGAACCATTGAAACCGCCGACTCCCCCTCTTCCCTCTCCCTCTTGTTCTCTTCTCCGGTGCCACAGGGAAACCATCGGAACTGCCTCATTGAACTCTCCTTCTTCCCTCTCCCTCTCATTTTCTTCCACAGTGCCACAAGGGAACCGTCGAAACCACCGACTCCCCCTCTTCTCTCTCTCCCTCCCTCTCATTCTCTTCCCCACTGTCACAGGGGAACTGTCGAAACCGCTGACTCCCCCTCTTTCCAACCCCTCTCGTTCTCTTTCCTAGTGCCACAGGGGAACTGCCGACATCACCCAGGTGAGATGTGTTGGCGAACTCCCTACTTTAGCATGAAATACCTCTCAGAGGTTGATGATAACACACATTGCCGTAGACTGTGTACAGGTGGAACTCAACAACAATATCATCACAATCAAAGGATGATCGGTGTGGAACCACTCTCTACGAGGGAACCAAGTAAAGGAAAAGGAATGAAATAAAAAAAAAAAAAAGCAAAGGACACAAATATGAAGGAATCCTCCCCTCTTCCCACCCATTCTCTGCGACGAGGGTTCATCAAACCCAAAAATCTTGTAGATTAGCACAGGGAATACGATTGAGAAGAAACATAGTAAATTGGATTTGGTTTTACAGTTGGACCATGGAAGTGAGAGTCCGGTGGATACTGGCATATAGGGCTACCCTGGTATCGTTCGGTTTGCTAAGAAATTGGTACATCTCTTGTCCCCTTCAAACCCTCAATCGGATTTTCTTTTGAGTCTAAAGGAATTGGATTCTTTCGCTTTGCCCCCTCTTATATTGTCAGGAAACGGCAAAGCTAGTCAATTATATTGTCAGGAAACTTACGAATATTGGGTTTTAAAAGAAATTATGTATATATTTGAAATTGATGCTACAGTTGCAGTATCATTTTTTGAGAAAACAGTGCTGTTGATGTGTGGTTTAGAGCACTATTTTTTCAAAAAACAATGCCTTTATTTTTTTTTTAAATCGTTATTGTCATGTAGCATGTTTCTTGGGGCAACGATAACCTTTTCTATTCGGTATGCTCCAATAAATATTTTCAAACTGGCGTTGCTCAAAACAACGTTTCCTGGAACAATGGTATCAAATAGAAAAAGTTATTATGCCCCAGAAAATCTTACTACCCAAGCCTTCTACTCGAGCGGCGGACACAAACTATTATTGGCAACGGGCAAACGACGCTTACGCGGGATCTCGGTGCCTTCTCTTGAAAGAATAGAAGTTGAGTTCGAGTTGTTATCATGCCGGATCGGAGGAGTAAAGCCGTACTAAGAGCCAGCGTACCTGCTCACGGGAGTCAGGCCTGCTCTGTAGTGGGCAGACGTAGCAGGGCCATCTGAAAGAATCTAGGAAAAACACCGCTGGAGCAAACGAAGGCTCGAAAGCAACAACCAGCGGAGCGAAGCGAAGAAAACGGTTGGGCAACAAGCGAGAAAACAAAGTGTGCTAACGCGCACTCCAACTTTTGCATGCTTTTGCATTGACGCGCTCAAGCCGTTGCGCTAATGCGCAGTCGAGCAAGCGAGAAAACAACAGCGCAACAAGCTACGGATTCAGCGCTAGCGCTCAAGCCGTTGTGCTAACGCGCAGCCGAGTAAGCGATTCAAAGCCGTTGCTTATTGCGCTAGCGCATGCATCCGTTTTGAATCTTGCTACTCCGGCTTTCAAGCCAGTAAGCAACAGCGCCGCTCAATCTAGCGCGCTAACGCACAGTAGTTTTTCAGTTTGGGCGCGCTTCGGCTTTGCAGCCAGAGCTTGCTGGGTCTCGATGCCCGCTACGGTTAGGCTCGCAAGTGATGCTAGGCAAGGAAAGATTTTGCCAACAGTTGCAGTTCCAGGAAACGTCACATTTGGCGTTGCTTCAAGCCATGTCATGTGTACAGATTTTAATGGAACATTAACGGATGCAATTATGCAAACACGACAAAGCCTTTGCCAGTCAATTGTCAGATAACTTAAGAATATTAGGTTTTAAAATAAACTATATGCCACGTTGTGTTATGTGTGAACAGATTTTAATGGAACATTAACGGATGCAAATGGTAGAGATAGTCAATTATCAACAAACTTAGGAACACTATGAAGATAAACAATAAGGATATAGTGTGTCAATTAACTAAATAGTTGAGGTTGTTTAAAAACTTTGCCCTATAGAAGTGACTACATGTAACAACTGGAGTAAACCAAACGAGAAGACGAACAAAACTAGAAAGAAGCATGTTTTGGACAAAAAGATATGAAGAGGGGGGAATGTTCAATTGGGAGACGCTCGTAAGAATTAAGCCAATTACCAACTTGTTTTCAAGTGGGTGTGGCCCATTTTACAATGTTGACATCAACTATGTTTGTATTCTTAGAATACCATGATGGTGTGGCCCATTTTCATCATGGTGTGCCCCAAGTGATTTCATAATACTAGGACTGGTTCACTGTTAGTGATATGGTTTTGGCTAGTTTTTGATGAATCAAGGTTTCCAGGGCATGATGGAACTGGCCCTAGGCCTTGGTCATGGTTCCACTGATCCAACTGTCCAATCCAATCAAGTCTTCTAACCAATGCTCCCAAACGTAACAACACAAAAGATTCCCTTCTTTGGCCAATCCAAATTGTGATGGATTGCATTTGGTTATTTTACAATTTCCATTTAGAGAACCAAGGAATCAAAGTGTCCCTCTATTGTTAAAATCTCTATACACAGTGATAAAATCCTTTATATTTATGGGAACTTCTCTCTAAGAAGAAGAAAAAAAAAAATCTTCAGTAAACTTTACTCATCTTGATAGGTTATCCAAGGAAAAACAATCCATTAAAATGGTCAATTGTTCTTTCAGAAGCATGCTTGTAATCTTCATGTGTTTGAGGGCCTAGTTAGTTGTAGTAATATACTTATGGTACGGACTCCACGTGTGTAGTAATATTTTGAAGATAACCATTGCTTTATAGAAGCAGTGATGGAAAAGACTGAAGTGTTTTTCTTTCTCCAAGTAGTCATCCTTCAAGAATTCAATGAATTTTAAATGGATATGCCAACATTTGGTGGCATTCTACCAGTTCAAGTGGTTGGGGTCTTCTTTCATCGTTTACAGTTGCAAGATCAGACCCTTGATTTCCAAAGAGATCCATTCTTTTCTTCAATTAGGATTCTGTAATTCAGTGAAAACAAGTGGTTATGGTCCTTTTCATTAATTGGAAGAGATTTGCATCTTCAACCATTTGAAAGTTGATGTTATAGCATCCACAATAGCATGCTGAGGGAATGATATGACACAAGGAGAGAATTTGAGATTCAATTGATATTGTGTATTTTGTTACATGGAAGTACAATAGATTACAGAGTAATAGAATTGGAGGTATCCAAATACAATAGGTAATGTGTTTGAATTCAAATAGAAGTTTGCAGCATTATCAATAATTGGATGGAGTCTTTGAACTGGACTTGGTATCCTTGGGCTCTGATGTGGACTCCATGTCACTAATATAGGCCACCCTCAAGGTCCATGGGCAAGGTTGGATGTTGATCTTGGTGAGTAAGGGTGTGAAGGAAGCTCGAGCTAAGGACTTTGTGAAAATGTCAATTGGTTAGTCCTTTGAATCAATGTGCCAAACATGAAGTTGATTCTTCATGGTCCAATCACGAATGAATTCCACTTGTTTGGTGCAAGCATGATACATGAGATTTGCTACAAGGTAAGTGGCACCGAAGTTGTCCGACCAAAAGACAGGGAGAATATCCTCATTACCCTCATTATAATTAATTAAGTTTTTAGCACAAGGTATGGGTGGACTTGTTCTTATTCACATTTCCAGTCCAATAGGCTTTTGTGTGAGGGGGTGTGTTAGAGAATATCAACTATTCAAAAACCTCAGTACCAGCTTAAACCATGTCACCTTTGTAGTAACACCGCCCGAAATTCCGCTTCCGTGCTAATGCGCACTATAGTCACCTGTTTCTTAGCACTCCAAGAAACTAGATGGGATCCAAATAACATTGCATTGTCACCCATGAATCTCCTATTGTCAATACACCCAACCCAATCGGCATCAGAGTAAACAATCAACTGAAGGCCCATACTGGTGGAGAAGTAAAAACCAAATATGTATTTCACATACACAAGATAGATGACGGTCTGTGGGCGATTGTAGGTACTGAGCGACCTTGTTCATAGTAAAGGACAAGTCAAGAAAGGTCAAGGTGATAAACTGTTGTGCTTCCACTAGGCGAAGATATTCACTAGGATCTTGTAAGGTTTCTCCATCATATCTGGACAATTGAACTGAGGAGTGGTAATTGGTTCAGATCCAAGTAGATCAGTACATTTGAGGAGTTCCATTATATATTTTTGCTGTGACAAATAGAAGCCATTTGTGGTACAACTAAGTTCCATGCCAAGGAAAAAACATCATTCACTCAAGCTTTCAAGGCGAATTCAAAGTGTAGTTGCTGAATAAGGGAGCCCACTGTTTGAGGATCATTACCCATGAGAAGTATATCGTCAACATATATGAATAAAAACATGATCTTTGAGACCCATCTGTAGATGAATAGAGATGGGTCAGAATTTGACCCTTTGAGGAGGCCAAGTAAGAGGAGATGGGTGGCTAAGCACTAAAACTACACTCCGGGAGCCTGTTTTAAGTCATACAATGACTTGTGGTTGCAACATGTAGACTTCCTCGTGCAAGGGCCCATGGGGGAATACATTATTTATGTCAAGCTGCCACATACACCATCCAAAGTGAATGGAAAGTGAAAGCACACATCGTATAGTCTGATGAATCATGGGAATGAATGTGTCAAATAAATCAACACACTGGGCTGTTAAGAGAAACCTCAGGCCACTAATCTCACTTTATAGCGCTCCACAGAAGTATCAGCTTGTTGTTTCACCATGTAAAGACACTTGCAACTTACCACCATTGCACATCACTGCATCAAATTCCTCGAACATTGTACGATGCCAATGAGGATGCAAGGCTTGCATTAAGTGTTTCCTTAGTGCACTTTATCATTGACCTTAAACAATTCATAAATCAAATCTTCATTAATATATAATAAAAAAGAGAGAAAAATCTGATAAACCATTAAAAGGAGTAATGGCTTCTTTAGACTTTTATATAAGAAGAAGATTGGTTCACTACATGTGTAAGTTAAGGTTTAAGGTGAGAAAATTTGGGTTTAATGTTAGTATGGGTCTAAGCTAAGGTTTATATTTAGGTTGGCTCTTAACCTAACCCATTTCATCTAATTTACACCCCTTCTTTATTAGAGAGAGCCAAAAGAGATTAAGAAAAACTTAAGAACGTTTTCTAATAAGGTGAGTTAGCCTTCGTCAATACAAATCCTTGCTAGCACGAAGATATTGCCAATGTAAGGTTGTAAAAGCTGTTAGAATGGACGTTGCACTGACCGAAGCCGATCTCAAATAATTGGTACTTCACTGTATTGTTCATAGGCATATCCCACCACCATGCCTTTGGTAAAAAATCAAGTAATAAATAAACAAGAAAAGTGGCCTACCTCTTTAAAGAAATATCAAACAATTGGTGCTTCACTTCAGCTCGCCAGCGGTTTTGCTATCATCTTCTACTTCTTCTTCTTCTTCTTCAAGTTGTCATCATGATCGTGATCTGATGATAATATATTCATAAGTTCAGGGTCTGCTTGCCAGCCTTTTAGCAGTTGCTCTAATCGGTTGCTAAATACATTTTCATCTTCAAAGACATAATAACGGTAGAACAATGGCGATGGTGACTCCAATTCTTTCTTTGTGAAAGAACGTAGAGTCATAGAGATGGTTTCAATAATTTAAAGACCTGCAGAAACTGGATGGATGTAAGTACAAAGATGACAGCTTATCAAAAAATATTTCATAAAAACAAAATGAATATATTGTATCAAGGGAAAACCATATGAGAGGTGAAAAGTAATTCAACATTTTATTTTAGTTTGGTAAGGAAAATGAGTGACTAGGTAGGTATTCAGTGTGTAAGCCACTTAATTTGTTGTGTTAAAAAATTTAAACACAAGCTTGAATTAAAATTTTAAAACAAAACAAATAACGAATTATAAACTGGAAAATAAAATGCAATCAAAATATAAGCATTAATTAGTTATTATTTCTACAGGCATGTTATGTGGTCTCTCCAATTAAACCTCAGAAACTAAAAGGAGAGACTCACATGCCGGATGTGTTCAGTTGTGCATCCATCTGGAAACAAGTCTGAAGTAATAAGCTGATTCTCCAACTCGGCTTGCCATTTTTTGTGTTATGCTTCTCCTCCATCTCATTAAGCCATTCTCATCACCTGCCGGTGCCGAGTTATCGTCCTGAACTCCTCATCCATTCTCCACCCTCGTTCTAGCTCTCTTATACACAAGTTCAGTGTTCTTAGTTCTTCCTTACCTGTTGTTCTCATATAACCCCATCTCCTATGCTCTCTTGATGGATTGGATTGCATCTCCAGTGCACATACTTTCTGAGAGGTCGTATCGATTGATATAATAATTCTAGAATTTTCAAGAACTGCAAGCATGAGCATAAGAATTATCAAAACCTGTTGTTTATGTCATATTTTGTTTCTCAAAACAACAGCCACATTAACAGAATCATATCAGGAACTACTCACATTTGACAGGCTAGGCTGTGAACAGGGCTTTCCAACACTGTTGACACCTCGGGCTGTCCAACATAGATAGCTAATTAAATCCCCCAATTGAATGCATTTGAGCTTTTAACCATCGAAACCATACCCCGTGATTTTGGTAAATTTCATTGGCTAGTGTATACCTTAGTACAAAGAAGCAAGTACAGGCCATCTCGATCGGCTGAAGTGAAGATCTGGTATGGGTCTAAACTTAAAGAGATTGGATTCTGTCTTCGTATAACTGTTCTTACATCGTCCTCACTCACAGCCACTTGCATCTGTGTATTGAAAATATCTCGGTATCTATATGTTTTGAAGAAATATTCTCAATGTGTGATTATAAATGACTGTGAGAACAGTATGAACACAATCTTGTGAGAGGACTGATGAATAAAAAGCTTAACAAGTTGCTTTTGGCTCCTTTAACATATTAAGGCAAGCTTTCCCTTTTAAATAGAATAAGGGGAAATGGTTGGCGATGGTCATTTGATAGAACTAATTAAGTCATCGTTATCTATTTTATTAGCTAGGATGGACTTTTAACCCAGACGATGATGTAATATCAATGCCCATATCACGAACCACATCATGCATTCTAACATGTCCACCATGTATTCTTTCTTGAATGAAAAATAGCTTTCCTTTGCAGCTAGCAATAGGCAACGATCTTTTAAGTGTACTCTGCGCCTTGCTTCTTCCAATGTGTCGTCCACATCTGAAAATACTCCCTCACCTACTCCATACTCCACCAACATTTCTTACACTGATATTATGATCTTCAGGGAACAAACAACACAACAAGAATAACTGCTTCGTTTCCTCGTTGGGTAGGTGATTATAACTCCACTCTAGACATCCCAACACCTTCTTCTGAACATCTCTCACATGGATAGGTCTAGACTTGTTCAATTCATTAGCTGCCTCTTCCCATATTTTTATGTCCTGTTTACCTTTCAGTGCTCTTCCCACTATGATCAATGCTAGAGGTAGACCTCCACACTCTTTAGCAACTTTATATGCCACATCTTTAAATATTGGAGACTCCACATACGAACCTGCGCTCCGTTTAAACAAATCCCAACTTTCTTCTTCTGTCAAGACACGAAGGTTAAAGATTTGGGTTGATCGGTCCTCCATACTGCCCATAGCATCGCATATATCCTTCTGTCTTGTGGTGATTAGTATCTTGCAACCCATGTGTTGTTCTCTTCCATGAGGAATTCCTATCTCATCTAATTTCAATAAATTGCTTCCTTTTCTTCTTCTTTTTTTTTTTTTTTCCTTATCAACAACCGAAGAACAACAAGAATTTAACTCAAACTAAAGCGCCAGAGTTCTATGTAATGGAAACGAGGATGATAGGGTAATTATCTATAATAATGAATTCCCGCACCGGCACCGCTGCAGCTTAGCTTTGATTCGATTCAACCTGCTGATCCTCTGCTTCGAGCAAACCGTGTTGATGTTCTGCCGCTTTCCGTCTTAAATTCAATAATGATGTGTTGAAACTGTTTTGAAGGATGATGCTTAAATAATACATGCCAGCAATCAGAGAATATTACAGTCATCAATTGTACGGATCTGAAGTGTTTTGTTATGAATGAATCCAAATATGGGCCCCGCAAACGCCTATGTACAAGTTTAGGAGATTTTCCCATTGACATGCCATCAATAGGAATAAATATAAAAAGGGTTTTTACCGTTCAGTCCACCCCTAGGTGGAGCTACTAGTAGACTAGGGGTGCACTGAATCTGCCCCTGGATTGACATGCTCTCGGCTGGAGGAAGTTCAAAAGCAATTGTTTTCAACCCGCAATTGTTGACTCCGTCTGTTGAATTGCTCGATCCATCACCTCATCAAGATTTTGGGATCGGAAGGGAGGTCAAAAATCGTTGATTTGATTAAAAACCATTCGGGGTTAGACTGTTTATTTATTTGATGGGTTGCATAATTACAAGTAGGTGATGTAGGTGATTTTTTTTTTTTTTTGAGTACAGATTCATCCGTTTTTGTAGGCGTTTTGCCTTGGTATTTTTGCCAAAAATCCCTTTTTAGGCTTAAAATGCAATTTATGATACTATTTCATAAATAAAAAAATTTAAAACTCAATTGGAAAATATAAAATAATACATATATGTAGAACATAATTACACAATTGTTATTGATAGAATACACGTTTATATGTACCAATACACATATAATATATATATATATATATATATATATATTATCAGGGACTCGTGCGATGTACGGGCTTTGTTAAGTGAAAGCTAAATAATACAAATACATAAGAGTATACAATTATTTTATATTTTAAATTTTTTGAAATAATTAATAATTATTTATATTTTATATAGTACTTAAAATTTTTTTTGTAATACAAAAATAAAAATAATTAATTTAGCTAGGACGGTTCATCAAACTGATGAAACCAACCAACCCGACCTAACTTGACTTGAGTTGGTTCTAGTATTTTTTGGTTAGCTTTGGTTCAACAATTTCCCAACCCCGACTATGTCGGATTAGTTTCAATTTGGCCATTTGTAAATAGACAAAAATTGAACTGACCAAACTATATATATATATATATATATATATATATAGCTTTTAATATGGAAAGTGGAAAAATTGAAAATTCTCATATATTCTTAGTCTAAAATATTTTGTATTATAAATTTAAATTATTTATTTGCTTTTCAATAATACTGCTATAATTTTTTAAATTTAAAATTAACTTTTAAGTTTAAATTTTTTGAGTCAATTGACCAAATTGATACACGGGTAAGCCCAAGCCAGGATTTTCCTCTTTATAAACAGAAAATGACTAGGCCTGATCCCAAGCCTGAAGCTCGATCTAGACAAATATTTTATAGTATATTAGTTATACAGTATTAATAATATATTATATATTTTTTAATATTCTATATATTATAATACATAATACCTTTTTCACTATTAATTTTATTATTATATAATTATATTTTATGTGCCATTAACATATATTATATTTTTTACTATATACAAAATTATCGTGGGCCCATTTGGCGCATCTTTCCCCATGGTCTTTTGGTTGTTTACAAGTCGGAAAGACTGATTTTCGGTCTATTCCCATTTAGCTCATGGAAGATCTAGCCGCCGAAAGATGGTGTGCTGAAAAGACGTGAAAAGCCCATTTCAGGAAGCTTCCCATGTCTTTTGCGTTTTAATCTCGCGTGGAAAGACGCAGGTAGACACACGGAAAGGCGCGCGTCTGTCAAGCTGTCTTCGGCCTGCCCAGATCTTATGTCAAAAGCTCAATGCGTCTTTTGACTCTCAGAGCTACAAGAAGATCTTCTCCAAAAGACATACCAAACGGGCCCTACGTCAAGCTTATTTGGGAAAGCCCGAGCCCGACCTGAAAAATAGTTGGGCCTGATGTTTAAAGACCTTCAACTGATCCGAAATGACCCATGGACACTCCTAATTTTAGCTAAATTAATAGTCTAGTCTCTAATAAATAGCAATAGTTTAATCTCCAATAATTATTGAGAATTTATAGCAAAAATACATAATTATTGAAAATAAATTTATATTGAAAATGTAGCAAATAATTAATATATATACAATGAATACAATAATTATAAAAATACAATAAATACTAAAAATATATTAAATTAGTCCATAAATAGTTTAATATCCAAAAATAGTTTAATCTCTAACAAATATTAATCAATAAATTGTAACAAAAATATAAAAAATCTAATATGTATGATAAATTAAATTTAAATTTTAAATAATAATATTTTAATCTCCAATAATTATTGAAAACTTTTTTATTAAATAACAAGAAAAAAATAGATTTATACATAATTGTTAAAAATATATTTATCACAAATACAAAAAATAATTACTAAAAATGCACTATGTATTGGTTTTAGTATATACAAATATATAATAAATATAGATAAATATTTCAAAATTATTAATACATTATTGTTTTAAATTTATTACATAATCTCCTAATTTAATTTATTTTTAATTAATAAAAAATATGATTTAGTTATGATTTTTTATATTTAACATATTTAAAAACTAGTTATTTACAATATTATTTAGTTATTCAAATAATGTCATTATTTATGCTTTTAAAACATTAATTATTTATTGAATTTAATGATCTATAAAATTATTATTATATAATTTCGTTAAATTATTAGTTCGAATATTATGAAATCTATTATCATCACTTTTATAGTTGTAAGATTTTTTTTAAATTTATTACATAATTTTGTTCCTTTAAATATTTAAAATTTAGTTATGTTGAATATTTAGTCATTTAAAATATTTAGATATTTAAATAATGTTTAAAATTTTTAAAATTTTTCTTTAATTTTTATTTATTTTAAAGTTTTTACATTATATTAAATATTATGTTATATAATTATTTATCTATTTTTAATATTTTTTATTTTAAGTATTTAGTTATTGAAATATTTGAATAATATTTTTTTTTATAATTTTTATTATGTGAGTAACGTTTATATAATTTTTTCATTTAAGTTTTTAAAATATTATTTAATTATTAAATTGAATAGTCCATAAAAATATTATTTTTGTGTTTAATAAATATATTAAAGTTAGTACATAATTTTATAATTCTCAATTTTTTTAATTCAAACTTTCTTGTTTTATTTGTTTGTTAATTTTTAAAATATATTTAGTTATTTATTTGAATTACCTATAAAAATATTATTTAAGTTTATAGTTATTACATAATTTAATTATAATATTTAAATAATTATGAATTTTTTTAATTCAAACTTTCTTGGTTTATTTGTGCGTTTTTTTTTCAAAACTGAAACCAAATTCTTGAATCCAATTTCAAATACATATTTTGCTCTCACTATTCAACACAATGATCCATAAATTATACAATTTTTATATTAGAAAATTGTTTTTTATTTTAAAAACCAATATATTGTTGGTTTCAAAAAACATATATTGTTTTTTGGAATAAAACCAACTTTTTTTCCTTTATAAACAAAAACAGAATTCAATAGGATGTTTTTGCTTTTTTTTTTCTGATGTGGCAACTAGAAAAAACAAATGAAAATAAAAACATTTATGTCATAAAACGCCTCCTAATAGTGAACTTATTTCATTTTATTTAAATGGAAATCCCCTGGGGCGTTTCATTAGCTAGAGACAAATAATTTTTTCTACTGATATCAACTAATCACCCGTAGAAAAGCAAAAAAAAAGTATTTTTGATTTGCATCTATAAAATAACTTACTGAGTAAGCTTACATCAGAATTAACTTGCTTATATTATATGTGATGATAATAGTAAAAATACTGATGAACCAAATGTAACCATGAAAACTTAAAACAAGGACCATTCTTTTCTCACAGAAGTACCATTGTAGATCAAACCTAAACCTATTGTGGATTCTAACAGCTTTAATTCATGTACGGCAAGCTACAATTTGGCTGGTCGAACGGCAGTCTGATGAAAAGATATTTTGGACATGGGTTCACATTTGTTACTTTTCATAATTCTTATACCCTCCTAAATTAGTTATCAAGTAAGAATAGCTTTGTAGAAATCATATTTATAGCTGATGTACTCATATAGAGGTTGTCAACAGAATGGTTATTGGATTTGACCAAATCGAGGTGATTAATTAAGATAGCTCAACCTATTTTACTATTTCCAATGAATTGTTGTTTCACTCACTCTACATGAAGCCAATATATCAAATGATCAAATATTAAACTTTCATATTATTTTATGATTCCTTCTTTGGAGAAGAAATATTTGTTATGGTTCATTGAATGTGGATCCCCTTTCTAGACAACCATAATATAGCTATAATAAATAATTGAATCATTCTTATTAAGTTTACTGATATCGTTATCATCCATATCTCAAAAAAAAATTCAAACAAGCTCTAATTAATGTTGTGGAAAAATTCAAGAAAACAAATTCAAATGGTACTTGATAGTGCGTGATTTGGATGCTCCTAACTGTAGGGTAGTTTGGACGCCTGCCACCAAGTAGGTCGCTCACACTGTAAAGAAAGGGAAGTATCAGAGAACTCAGGGTGGCTAATCCGGCGAGGTCGCTCCGATGCTTAAGTCAGTAATAGTATATGCGAGCTGAAGGTTTGAGAATAAGGAGAGCTAGAATGCATTAAATCGCGCATACCTGGGTTTTAGGGGGTTGATGTCCTTATATAGTTGAATTGTCGTGGTCCTTAGGAAGCGGCTCCGGGATCCCCGGCTCGCATAGATGAGGTTCGTTTCCACTTTAGAAGGAGAGTAACGTACTAGTCAATGAAGTCTATCGTCATCGTCCAATTCGGGCGGGGAGAGGATAAGACTTACTGTTATGCGGCATGATCCTAGAAGATTTAGAATTCGTTTGAAAAGCTTCTGAAATTGACTACGTATCACCTTGGTACTCGTGTACCGAGGTGGCTCATTGCCGAGGTGCCCAAACAGTAG